CCTAGAGGCGGCCCTCACTCTGCAGGTGGACACCCACCTAGAGGCTGCCCTCACTCTGCAGGTGGACACTCCCCAGAGGTGGCCTTCACTCTGCAGGTGGACAGTCCTCAGAGGTGGCCCTCATGCTGCAGGTGGACAGTCCCCAGAAGTGGCCCTCACTCTGCAGATGGACACTCCCCAGAGGCAGTCCTCACTCTGTAGGTGGACACCCCGAGTCCAGAAAGAGAAGACGACTTGGCTGAAGTTACAGGGTGGTGGATGGGGTTCACAGCACATGCTTTCCTTTAGCTGCCAGAGCAAACGGGTCAAGTGCCCATCAACAGACCATGAGAAGCCCAGTGGGGTCTGTCCCTGCAGCGGGATGGCACTCAGCCACGGGCAGGAATGAGGCTTGGATGTGGGCCTCAAAGACAGCACTGTCTGGGGAAACTGCCTCACTTCCTGACTTGTCAGTCTGTGAACTGTCCCCACCATGATGCAGTGAGAGAAACGGAGAGACACAGGAAGAGAGAGGAGAGAGAGATACAGGGAAAGAGATAGGCAGAGACGAAGAGAGAGATAGGGAGAGATAGGGAGAGACAGAGGGAGACAGAGAGAGGAAGTCAGGAACAGATGGAGACTCAGAGACAGTGCATGAGAGCGCCTATGGACGGAACTATCCGCTTCCTACTGTGCCTTGCCCAGGCTCCCACGGGCTGGGAGCAGGGACGGTGGGGGCCTCTGTCTACACAAGCTCTGGAGCCAGTCAGGGACGCATGTGTGCACAAGGCTGTGCCTGTTTCCAAAATGGCAGCACCTGCCCTCCCCTCTGCGTTCCTAAGCCACGCCCCTCTCCCCACTAACCTCTGACCTATAACAGGGTCCTTTCTTGCCCATCAAGAGCCCTGCCTGCCTCCTTTCTGACGTCCACACTCCCCCAGGCTGCAGTTGCAGAGACCGTGTTGGGGTTCCCTTCCCCACCTGAACACTGGAAGGAAGCCCGCAGGACAGGATGGGGACCCATGTCCCACCAGGCCAGTGTCCAGGTCGGCAGCACAGGCCTCCGCTGCCGCCACCCAGAGCTTCTCCCAGTGCTGCAGGAGGACCAGACCTGGGTGGGCCGGGAAGGGCTTCCTCTGGGCCAGGAGTTGGGACCCCCAAGACCACTGTGGACCTACCATCCTGAGACCTGAGCAGTGGTGCTCTGGGTTCAGGTGTGGAGGACTGGCCTGAGCTCTGGTCAAAGGCACATTCCAGGGCACTCCATGTGATCTAAAAATAAAACTCTACAGCCTCTGCCGACTGAAGGGAACCCTCAGCCAATGGGACCCAGAAACACCTTAAACTGAGTTCTCAGTATGATGGGATAGGAGAGGGATGAGAGGGAGAGCAGGCTGACAGGGCCGGTGACTTCTCCTTCTGCATTCACGACTCTTCCAGGGACAGCAGGCTGACAGGGCCCATGACTTCTCCTGCATTCACGACTTTCCAGGGAGAGAGGATGACAGGGCCCGTGACTTCTCCTGCATTCACGACTCTTCCTATACCTTGTTAAATATTTGCATTTGACCATCCCTCTCAGTATAAGATCCTTTTCCTTTTGTCTGTCTCTAGAAGCACCTGGGCCCAGCTGCTGGCCAGGGGTCTACTTCCCCCGGTAGCAGTGGCCACCCTTGTCTGTCCTTTTCCAAAGCATAGACCTGATTATTTTCCAGTTCCCACCACCCACTGTGGGGATCTAGCAAGCCTAGGAATCTGCATATTTAGCAAGCACAGAAGTGGCAGCCACGATGACTGGCTAGCCCCCCAGAGGAGGACAGCATCAGTAAGGCAGGCCTCATTACTATGTGGGCCTCACGCTGCCACCTTGCAGATGC